TTGAATAGCTCAGAGATGCCAGCTGCTAAGGTACTAATTCTTTTTTTTATCTCCTTTGAATCTGAAAGCTGCAGATGTAAAAGCTGTCGTCATGCCACAGCCATGATCTGTCACTGCAAGCAGGACTCCCCATTTTTCCAACCAGTGCCTCCATTTTTAAACGATCCTTTCCTGCAGCGTCAGCCCCATGCATGGGCAAGTGCCCCTTCCTAGGCTGGGTGGCTCTCAAATGGGGGGGTTGGGGGAGGAGGTGTGGGGGGCTGGAGGCAGTGTAGAGGTTCTCCCCCCTTGGAATGGCAGTCTTGGGAAAATATGTGCAGATCCATTACATTACAAAGGAAAGGAAATGCTCTCCAGGAGCACTTCTATGAGAAAGCAGTAACACCCTCTCCCCAAAAACCAGCAGGGCACAGGTGAAGTTCCCCCCACTGAGCCTGAGCTCAGCAAGCTTTTTCCCTCAGGGGTGCTTGCCTTGTCTAAGGACAATAGTGGCTGTGTGACCTGGGATGGGGCTGCTGGAAGGGGCTGTGTGAGAGCGAGAGCTGAGATGCTCAGGCTTCGTGTCTACCTGTGTGAACTCACAACTCTGCTCGTGCCTGGCCATGCACCCCCCTTGTCTTCCCACTTCACCTGGGACTTCCTCACCACCAGGAGCTCTCCTGGCTATCCCAACCCTGCCCGAGGCTGATTACCCTCACCTGCCCTGCCCTCTGACTGCTCCCACCACTGAGATGGCCTTTTGTGTTCCAGCCATCCCTGGGTGGACGCAGCTCCTGTGGGGCAGCAGCAGGCTGTCTCTGTCCCACAGGAGCCCCTCCCATGGGCAGCTCTGTGCAAGAACAGGAGGGCTCACAGAGGAAGGAGCCTTTAGCTTTCCAGCCCAGCTCAGGCTCCTTAAGAGCAGAAGTTGGTACCTTCTGGCTCAGTTTGGAGAAGTTGAGAGGGCCCCATCATAAAAGTACAAGGCTGGATGTGAACAGAGATGTCAGGAGGGAGATCAAGCAATGAAGAGGTGTGAAGAGTTGGATTTTCTCCCACCCTGTAAAACACAGTTGCAAGTGGAGGGCAAGGGGCATCTGCAAGCTGAGCTGGGCTAGGCTGAGCCAAGAGGGCAGCCATGGAGGAGACTTGCAGGGCTGCTCGTGATCTTTCCCAACACCGCTGTTAAAGAGAGGGCTGTTTTTCCAGAGCCCTTGATCTGGCATCTTTCCCAGGTAGTAAATTCCCTTAAAAAACGAACCAAACAGAGCTTTAATTGCACATTCTGCTTTTCTCTTCACTCTGAAATAATGACAGTGGCATTAATTCAGTGCTGCACTGAACATGTACCCGCACTGAGGCTGAGGGACGGATTCTGCTTTCCATTATTCGGAGGCACTGCCTCCGGTGAGGCAGATCAGAGTTTAAACAGTGAGCTGGAGCAATGAACTTTCTACTATTCCCTGCTGTTTGACTGTGGGCAAAATAAAAGGCCATAATACATGATGCAGTCAGCCAAGAAAGCAATATTGCTCTGCCATGTGCACGGCCTACACTGAGACAAGTCCAGGATCTCATTTCTAAATTCCCATAGGTGCCTCATTTAAACCATCAGCCATAACCTGCTTCTCATTTTCAATACCACTTGGTATTAGAGCTGCAGTGAACTGCTGGTGAGAGATTCTAATTCCTGCAAACAAGCCCCTGTAGGCTTGCAAGGAAAACAGAGAGTTCCCCTCTCGGTTGCCTGCTAGGTTCCCATCTGGCTGTTTTAACTTTGCTATTGCTTTTAAATGTGGCTGTTTCTGCAAAGAAGCTTTCAGCTCTACCTCAAGAGACTCCTGGGTTCTCTTAGCATCGGATTCTGACCAAAGTGTAGAGACACAGACTGGGTCTTCTTAACAAAAAGGAAGATCATATTTCACATTACAGTATCTGAAAGATTAATTCCACTTACATGATCATTTCCTTGTGAACCACACTTCTTTCCATCTGGATTCTTCCATCAGGAGGACAAAGAGCCATAGTGTTTAAGCACTACCTGAGAGAAAAGAGCAAGGAGTGTAAAAGATGAGTGCAGAGATGCTTGCTGAGAGAAGAGAGAAGAAAAAACAGAGTAGACAGCAATTTCAAATGCATCGAGAGGCTGCCTTTTTTTATCCTTTCACATGAATTATATGCTGACCTCATGCTTTGGAATTTTGAACCATTTAGTTTGTCAGGTTTTTGATTTAAGGAATTTAGACTATTTGGTTGCAGGAGCTTTCTGTATCATGCTATTGTTAGGTAGTGTTTGTGCTATTGTAGTAACCACAGGCCCTGCTGTGCCTGAGGCTCTCAATAATCTCACGTAAGGCCTTGTTACCGAAAGACACCTGTCCCCATCTGGGCTACGAACATAACCCCAGGCAGAGCTGTGCCAGTTAGGAAGGTGCTAGCGAAAGGGAAAGAGGGATGCTTGTGGTCCAACTAATGCCCTGCCAGACTGCTCCTGGGACTCCAGACATTCGATTCATCTCTACAGCTCACTTCACTCCCTAAGAGACAAGGTAACAACCATGGCAAAATGGCAGGAGATTTTTCCCCTGTAACAGAAGTGAAAATTAGGGCTAGGCAAATAGATTGGCTACTCAGTCTGTGTTCATTTTTAGTTAAATAAAACATGCTTTTCTCAACCAGGAACAATCCATTTCATCTTGTTTTGATTTTTTAAAAGATTTTATGCAATGCAGCAAAACAAATTCCAGAACAAAGTAACTCTGAATAGAAAAATGAAGATGGTAATTTTTTTGAAAATAAAAAAATTAACTATTTCAAATCTACAATATTGCTTTCCTCCTCCCTGAACTTTATGAGTTTTCTTTCACTGGAATCTGCAAATGCAACACAAATCTGTTAAATGCTTTAGCCAATTCAAGTCAGTGGGGGTTTGTGTGGGATTTTTTTTCTTTCCTTTGCCAGAAAAATCTTCAATAGAAAATGCCAATTGTTTCCACCATAGAGAAAGAAAGAAAGAAAGGAAAAAAAAAACCAAAACAAACCACCAAACACCATCAACAAAACATACACAAAAAAACCCCTCACAACCAAAAAGCTTAGCAGACTTAGAATTTAAGTGGCTAAACAATATTGGGGAGATACTAAGCTCAACTAGGTTGTTGTAAACAAGGCCCTGGCCTGACTGGGTCCCTCAGGAGCTGCACCCAGCTGCATTCAAACAGCATGGAGCCACCCACAGCCCTTCCTGGGTCTGCCTGTGGCCAGGCAGTGCCACCCCATGACCACCTCCAGCCTGCGCCTCAAGGGCAGCTCTTGGACCAGTGGGGAAATCCAGGCTCCACAGCTCAGACATGGAACCAAGCAGGCCCTGGCCACGTGGGGTGCACCCCAGTGCTCCAGGTCTTCGGGAACTGTTTGTGTAATGACGAGACAGTTTTAATGCTTGTGCTGCCTTGTATTCTCTGGATTGCCCTTAAAAACCTCTATCCAGCCTCAAAAGTCACCCATAAGTAGAAGGACTTCTTTTGTTTCTGTTTATTTTTAACCAGAAAAAAAAAAAAAAGAGAGAGAAAGAAAGAAATAATCTAATGAGATAGTCTTTAAGTACTTTCAGGCTACAATTTAAAAGAAAAGTAATCCTATCTAACTTGCATGGTCTAGATCTCTGGAGAAAACATTAGTGACCTTGTAAGATAGAATTTTTTTTCTCCCCAGGTACAGGGACTTCTGCCCTCCTGCAGTCAGTGGCTGTTTCCAACTAGAGTAGCTTCTGGGAGCCACCCAAAGGGAGAAGCTTAGAGAAAGGTAATCAGTGGCAGCACTTTTGCTAGCTCTGCAGTATCTTAAAGGGAGGCGGGGGGGGGAAACCCTCAGCAAAGTCCCTGGCCTTCAATTAAAAAATTCATATTGCTTTCCTCATTAGTCCAATCATCTGCTATAGCTATTTCCAAGCTTACCCTGAAGGCCCTGTAGAGAAATTCAATTTCAAGGCCAGTGCAACGCAGGAGGGAGCAGCGTTCTTGGGAGGAGCTACGTTCGTGTTGACACAAGAAGCTCACTTGTTTGGCATTAAATGCGTAAAAATGATGCTGATGTGCTTTTTGAAAAGTGGATTTCTGTATGAAAGGGAGCTCTGTTGCAAAGCACCTCCCTGGCTGCAAAGGCTGGAGTCACCTCCAAAGTGTCACTGGCACCAAAATAACTCAATTCTTGGAGAATTTCTTCAAAGTCAGGTCTTGGACAAGAAGCTTCACAATCTAATTCTTTCTGCTCATCATCTCCATTACTGTAACTAAGTGACAGGCTACAACAGAAGTTTAAAGCAGCAGGGGCTAGGAGAACTGAAAGTTTGGTATCCATCTGCTTACCTCCACAACTTCAGCCCTTAAGCATCAGCAGCAACTCAGAGTCAGCCACACTCCTTGAAAATTAGCCTGTGGTCTTATGAATCTCCCAATGTAGAAGCTGTATTATCTTTTTCTTGATTTCTTTTTACTGCTTCAGCTTAACGTTCTGTGTCAGTTAAAGTACAAACAGGTCATCATGAAGATGCTGGCAGTAGCTCTTGAGCACAGTGCATGACTTTCACAAGGCAGTAAAACTTGTAGGGCAGTGCACAATATCTGTTTCTGTGCTATTTTTCATGTTAATCTGTGCAAGGAATGCACAACATATTCCTTTACCAAAGCTCTTGGTGTTATATTATCTGCCCTGAAAAATTCGTAGGCTTTTATCTCTATATTCCTCTCTACTTCCCTGCAGTTCTTTTCCTCCATCATTAAAAGTAAAACCAGTCACTTTTTTTCCTCTCTCTCCCATGATTTTTACTGTGCTTTTCATATTTTACTTATTAAGCAGTTACCCTAGGGAGACTTCTTTTTTATTGGAACATACAAAAAGCTATCACTGTGCTTAACATTGGTGGGGAGGAGGAGGGAGAAGGGGGCAAGGGAAGCAAATTGAGGCTGAGGTCACAGAAATATATGTGATGTGTTCAATAATGTGCTTCACATTATCTCCACTTCTTTTTCCAGAACTAAAAAGATATTCTCCCTTGTTTTCTGCTTATCCCCCAAATCACCTTACATCATTGAAAATAACATACCTGGATGTTGGACAAAGTTGTTGTTTTGGAAGCAACATCCATCTGGCTGCTGCTGTGGGGCAGGGGACAGACTAGATGATTTCTGAAGGTCCCATCTGCACTTGTTTTCTAGAATTGTTAAGAAAATAAACGCAAACTCTAGATTTAGGCAAAGCTGATGCCACATGAGAATAAACATCCTCTACCCTACTTTGGGAAGAGTTCTAGTGTGCCTTTCACGTTGATTATGACTCTAATACCAACAAGCAACCAAACAAAGCTCATTAATATTTTCTGGGGGTGAGAAGAGCAATTCAGGATAATGAGCCTGGCAGAAGAAATGCTCCTAAAGTCTCAAAGAACTGCTTGGATATCTTCATACTCTTGCCCTTAACTGAGCTCTGCTTTCAGCTGAACCAGCTGGTCTGAGCTTCCTGAGTCTAAACCAGCAAACAGCATTGCAAAAGGGATGCCCAAATTCCATGCTGTGATCTGTGAGGCATCACAGATGTGTGATCTCTCGGATTCCTCACAGATCTGGAAGGGATTCTCAACAGGACAACAATGCCACAATTTCAGCTCTATAATTTCCATAAATTTAGGTGCTCTCTTTCTCACATCCCAGGTAAGTACTTCACCCCTCAGATGAGAGAAATGGCCTCTCTCTGGAGGAAAGTACCTATCACATTATTTATACAAAGTGGAACAGCTCCCAGAGGAGAGACAGAGACAGACAAGAACAAGAATACCAGTATAGCTAAGTGTTCAGGGGTATTCAACTGAGAGAGAGAAAAAACTAGTTCAAATTCTCTCAATTTCTATTTCTATACATATGGACACATATATCTATGTTTATATATGCACATGAAAAGCCGTTCATATGTATATATGTTTGTGTATATGTGTGTTTAAATACATCCCTATAAATGAAAGAAAATTGTATGCACATACATTTCATATGTGCATACACATGCATTATACAAATATCGCTCACACACACACACACACACACACACACACACACACACACATCCTAAGACTTGCACCTTGGCCCTAGAAGCATTTTAAATATAAGTCAACCCAATGATCTGTTCTTTCAAAAACTTCCAGCTTTAATTAATCAGAATCATGGGTGCACAAACACTTGGTAACTCTTCAACAAATAGAGCTGAAGCTTTTCCTGTCTATGCTCATCAGTAACAGAAATAACACCTGCACCTACAAGGTTCAACCAGTGCTGCATTCAGGTGGCACAGGAGGTTCTTCTCCAACATCAGTACTTGACAAGAAATTAAATCACATTATCTTACGCTGCTTTCTCAGGGGAGGATTTACATGCCTCTAGAGTCCTACCACAGAGTCACTCCTGCTCTCTGGATGTTTTTAGCAACACCTGCAGGCCCTGCTGCACACACTAGGTATAATAATGTAATGCTACTTGGAGGGTAATGAACAGGACTACTTTCTAGGGAATGTTATATCTGTATGAAAATTTCCTCTTAATTCATTTCAGAAAAGCTGTCTCTGATACAGCCTGAGTGCATGCAAAAGAGCAGCAAGATGCCTCACACCAAAGACTCTTCATCTCTGACTAGCAATGATTCCTATGAAACACCAGCACTATCAGACCTCCAGCGGCTTCTGTGGTTCAGAGGAGGGTCTGATAATCATGTGGACCAAGTCTGGCCAAATATCTACCTGGGAGATGCGTAAGAACAAATGGTCCTATTGTTAAGCTGTTATCGGTCCCTGGGAGGCGGAGGAATGGGTGTGGTACACTGAGGAGCAGCTTTTGGGTCTACAGGAATGTTTTTACAATACAGGCTTCCAAAGCTGATGACATAAGGAGTCTGGATGTCAAGAAAAACATGACATGCAAAATGGTGACTTACTGTGTCTGACTTGGGTTTTTTATATTCTGTGAGCCACCGTGGATTTGGCAGGGTAAGAATTATTTGTATTCTAGACAAAAGTCCTCAAAGAACTTATGCCAAATTGGTGTCAGTTCTGAGATGCATTATCTGTCCTGAAAACTGTGCTCTAAGGCAGCAGACAAGAGCATAGTAGCCCTCACGCTCAAATAGGGGTGGCAGGATCAAGAGACAGAAAGAAGAGGATCCAAATTAATTATACTGTAGGGATTTTGACATTTAAAATCAGAAGTTTCTTTCAAAGATGGCAAAACTGAAAATATCAAACAGGAATTTTCATGCAAATACCTTATTCCTGGGACCAATAATATTTATTGCTATTTCCTTCCAATTGGATTACAGCAGATAACATAGATCATTGGCTTGTTTTTCCCAGATCTTCCTCCTCATGTTCAAAACCAGGAACAAGGTGTTGCTGCATCTGTGTGAGTTCTTACCCTTGAGACCCAGGCACCCTGTCAATGAGAGATTAGCTCTAAAACTTGCTAAACAAATATTTAAAGGAAAATCTTGACCATTTTATAGAGTAAGCCATGTTCCCAGGGATTAACCGCTAGGAGGCATTTGCTTAACTGACAGTATCCCACTGGCAAGTCTGTGCTCCTGCTGCTCTCTACACCCCCAAATCACATTTTTCATGTACAAAGTACTATGTGCTTCTCAAAATTTTCTCCTCTGTAGGCAAGATGCAGTTCCTGCATCCTTTCTTAGTGGGAGCAGGCACTAACTTTAAACCATGCTATTTTAGCAGAATGTTGGGAGTGTTGCCAATGTGCCCTTCATGTCTTTCAACAGGTGGGCTGCCAGGAGCAAAACTACTCTTCAAAGCCTCAACATTACTCATATCCTTAATGCAGCAGATGGACCATATAGCATCAACACAGGAGCCAAATATTATGAAGATCTGCAAATAAAGTACTATGGAGTAGAAGCATTTGATGATCCTTCCTTTGATTTAAGTATCTTCTTCTATGATGCTGCCAATTTCATAGGCCAGGCCTTAAAATCTTCAGGAGGTAAGAGGGAAGCAAAGATAAGCTTTGGAAGGAAGTTTCGACGCAAGCCAAATGACTTCTCCTTGCAGTAAGAGGCACCAACAGATCTCAGAATCAGCATAAGGTTCAAGGTGGCACACGCAGAACCACCAAGGAGAGGATGGAGAAGGGTGCCTGTGCCATGTGCTGCAGGGAAGGTGGCCATGGCCAGGTTCCTAGGAGCTGGGGAAGACTGGCTGCCCACAGCCTAGCATGGGCAGCTCTAATACCATGGGCAAGCTCTAATACCAGAGTGTAGAGGTTATGGCACTGTAGATGCTCCCCCCGGTCCCATCCTGTAGGAACTGGCACGATCTGTGTGCTTCCACACACACCTCCCACCCCTTGCACACTGGCATAGGCTGCAGACGGACAATGCTGCCCTGCGTGCTGCTCCTGGTCCTGATTCACTCAGCTGGGAGCTGTGGCACTTCAGTGCTGGCTCGAATGCTTCCCATGCTTAAGCACTTCGCAGAATTGGAGCTTTATTCAGGCTGTCTATTAAGCTAGAGAAGCAGCAGAAGTTAATGAACTAAGTCAAAAACTACGAGCCTGACCCACAGCCTGCTGAATTTTTGTCAGCAGAGTTTGGATTATGGCCTAGTTATCATAATTTCCATTTGTTCCAGAGTTTGCTCTGACTCTGACTGGCTGCAGGATCTGCTGCTTTCACTGGAGTGCTTTATTAAATCCCCAGTTATAGCTCACACTGGGCTGCTGAGATACAGTAAATTACGACTCCATTTTTATAGGCAGACTATCCCACAGAGTTTATGGGACTTGCCAGTGATCACAGTCAGGCCTGGGCCAAATTTTTCTGCCAAAGCTTATTTTTTTCCACAGAAAACTATACTAACAAGTTTAGTCACAGAAAGCTTCTCCTGCCACAGAAAATTTCAACTATTTTAATCTGAGGCCTAAATTAGATCCAGGAGGTCAGTATGAAACACCACCTTGCCTGACAGGTATAGCATAATCTTTCTGAAAACATAAGGATTTATTAATTGTCCCCATTGTGTTCCTAACTTGTTTCTGGTATTTTTTCTCCTCCCTCTGTCTTTTCCACTTTAGAAATGCTAAAGCACACTCACTTTGCCGCACCTCCTTTTTTCTGCAGGTAAGGTGTTTGTTCATTGTGCCATGGGAGTGAGCCGCTCAGCGACTTTAGTGCTTGCCTTTTTAATGATCCATGAAAACATGACACTCGTGGATGCTTTGAAGACAGTCGGTGCTCACAGAGACATCTGCCCAAATTCAGGGTTCCTCAGCCAGCTCCGGGATTTGGACATTAAACTGAATGAAGAGAAGAAAAGATCCAGAGCATCTACTACCAAGGAGCTGTAAGAGAGTATTGCTGAAAGAGAGAGGAGAAAATCTTACTTGAGTTGCCTGTATCTCTTATAGATTAACCACATTTATAAACTAAGGACACAAGTTTATGAGACACCACAACGCATGTTATTAATAAAAGTAGATTTTGCTTGATCTTTCCATTTTGCAAAGCTCTCCTAGGTTTATACCTACGATTGATTGTATACTCTTATCCTTTACTCTCCACCTTAAAACATGGCTCTTTACTGGTTAAAAAAGGAACAAAAAAGAAAAATAAAAGAAAGATATCAGGTTCCACTTCATAAATAGCTGTGTTTTTAGCAACTAGTGAAGCTCATATCACTTTATGAAGTGTTAGGCTATTTGAGGTGAAAGATGCCATATTATTTATGCTACAGTAATGCTTAGAAGTTTTCTTATGAACCAGCCCCCCCCATTCCTTTGCTCCCTATATCTCAAAGGGTTTATATTTTAAGACTTGAATCTGGCACTGGTTAGTTCTTGATTTTACAATAGGTGGAGCACCTGAGTTGGGGTAAGAGGCTTTTTAAAGGTAATGCAGCTGTGAAACAACACAAGCCGCTCTAAGAAATTATTCCAGGTCTCTCTGTAGTGTTTTCCCTTTGGCTATTCATCAGAGGTTTTTTTCTCCATGAAAATTCATTTCTTTGAGAGGGCATTCAAATATTGTTCATCTTCCATAGCAAAAATTGTCCAGGAATGCTGCAGAAAATGCTTCTGAAGAAGAAGTTGTGTTCCCAGCTGAGGGTCCAACCAGCTGCATGGGTATTGGGAGTGGGTGCAAAGTTCAGCGTATCCCAAACTTGTCAGACAGTTGAAAACTACAAAACTTGGGATTTTCTTGCTCAAAAAATAAAAGGTTATTAACATTGCAACATCATATTCTGTGGCATTTCCTTTTGTGAGGTGAACTCAAGTGAAAACTGAAGACACACAGGAATGGCAAGGGAGGTGTTGACAGGCATCAGGCTTTCATCTTTGTGTCTCTGGGCCACCATAAGAGCACTCAATAGCTACTGTCATCTGATGGATCAGTGCTGCCTGGAAACTATGTGAAGCACATCTGGCTTTTGGTTCCCAGAGGACAAGCATTTGCAGCACAAAGCCAGCTTGGGGATGGCAGTTTGTATTCCTACTACCAAACTTCGGAATGCATGAATACTCCCCACCATATGAGCTGGCTACTCAAAACTAGCACAGCAACAAGGCAAAACATTCCTTGTCATTTCCAGCATTGTCTACAAGGTTGATTTCTGCCTTCAGGAGACAACTCAGCACCTTTTATAATGCTCTTTGGTAATATCTACATCTACTCTGTGGGACAGACTACATGAGTCAGAGCACAAGGCAGAACATTTAGCACTGAGGACCTGACCCTCACAGCAAGGGCATCTCAGGGGGTTTTGCTTTGGACTAACCCTGTGGGTTGGACATCCCTGAGCAGCAGCAGAGCAGTGCTGGTGCTGGAGCACTTCTTTGCTTTAGTTCCCCGTGTAAGAAAACCTGCTCATGAGCTCTGAGGCTGCTCTGCAAAGTCAACAAAACCACAACAAGCAGGAAGAGCCAAATTAAAAGTATGTTTCAAACCCAAATAAAAGCATGCACGTTTCCATTACCAATTAAATCTAACAAAGTGATTTAAACTTACAAAACACGTGGGGCAAGACCCCCCAGTGGATCCGGCTGTAGAGATGCCCCTAGCTTCAAGCACAAGAACCACATTTTTTTATGCTTCCCTGTATAGGAAGGAGGCCAGCCGGCCATTTTCGGCTGTAGAGCACAGGGCAGAGCTGAGGGTGCTCTCGCTGGGGTGTACGAGAGCACCGGCACATTAAACGCATTTCACAGGATACAAACTTACCGCGTTTTTAAAATACCAGCGGGTACAACTGGAAACCCGCAGGTTACTCTGACGATAAACACACAGAATGTAACTTCCCGGGCCGCATTGCCACGCGCGCGGCTCTTCTCCCAAGGGCGCTTATCCCGCATCCCATCGCCGGCCCTGCGCCCGCAGCACCGCACGGCGCCGCCAGGTGGCGCCGTCGGCCCGGCGCGGGCGGCGCCCTCGGTCGGGAACGCATCGGGCCCCGCACCCCAGGACCCGCACCCCAGGCCCCGCACCCCAGGACCCGCACCCGCGCCGGCTCGGGAGGGTCCCGGCGGTGCCCACCCGGCCCTGGGCCTCAGCCCCGCGCCGGCCGTTCTGTTCCGAATTCGGGTCAAGCCCCGAGGGACGCGGGGCAGGCGGTGCGGGGGCTGCGCTCGGGAGCGCGCCCGCCCCGTCTCGCCCCGCGCCCCACAAAGCTGGGGCACAGCCCACCCGCAGGGACGGACACAGCTGCCCCACCACGGACGGGGGTCAAGCCCAGACACCCCCTTTGCTCACAGCGGGACTGAACCGCAGCTGTCCCGCAAGGAGCGCCCGTGGCAAAGCCCCGTGTCGGGGCAGAGCGCAGCCCCCGGTCCCGGTGCCCCCGGCCGGGTCACAGCCGTTGGCACCGCCCGGCCACCGGCCCCCTGCGGAACTGCCCCCGCCGCCCGCCAGCTGCTCGCTCCGGCTGCTGCCTGCAGGTCCGAAAGGGTAGGGGAGTACGGGTTATAATTAACAGAATTAAAAATAGGCCTGCCTTCAATAAACTGAACACCCGGAGAGGCTAGAAATTTGTTGTGCAAGTGGCACGTTAGGAGGAAACGGGAGTGGTATTACTCAAACAAAGGTAATCCAAGAGACCGCAGCGCGGGAGCTTCGACTACCAGGCAAGTACCCTTACTCTTGTTTACAAACCAACCCCAGCGAACTCAGTACTTGCACCGAGCAGCATGAACACAACCACTGCCAGTTCCACCAGCAGCGAGACCACGGCAGAGCCAGGCCAGATCAGCGTCTCTGCCCTTGTACTCAGGAACTCTAATATTTGTGAAAGTTTTAGTTTGCTCTCCAGTAGGATCATAGGCTGAGGATCTCTCGCTAAAAAGGATGCTTAAATTCAATGAGTTGTTTTTTAAAATACCAATCTAGCTTGTATTGAAATTGCTTACAGATCTATCTTTAAGAAAATAACCAAGAAACACTGTATCTGGGTTTCCTTCTTCTTAGCTGATGTTCTCAAGTTGGATCCTGGGAAGGGGGAGACTGTCCACATTGGCTCCAGACACTGGAGAAAATGTGAAACAGACTATGAATAAAATGCTGTGCAGTTCAAAAACAAAACCTGGGAGAAACAAAATGAAAGACTAAGAAGTATGAGAGGGGAGTGAGATTGTTTTTTTTAATACCAACTATTTATAGTTTGGGGCATTTATGGATTATTTATAACTAGAATTTTCAGAGAGAAATGGGATTTTTAATATCATCAGTCTTCCTCAGAATATTTTTATTGAGGAAGTATGTTTGTATGGCTATGGAAGCCATCGTGAAGCTTGGAGTAAAAGAGTACAGAAAGAGAAGACTGGGTTAAATTAATTCCTGCTAAATACCTACCAGCAGACTTGCTGTCTGTATGGGGAGCTGGAGACAGAATTGTACCAGGGTAAAAAGGATACTGTGTCTATTTATAGTGCTGCCTTCAACACCATAGGAATTCAAAGGAAAACTCCAACTCAGCACACAGTCTTCTCATCATCTTCTTCTGTCAAGATTAAATGGGGCCTGAGATCATTTCCCCAACAAATCCCTGCCAGGAAGTATCTGTTCCTTTGTGTAACAAGGAACCACCATGGTACAAATCACTCCAGAGGTCAAGTCCTCACCCAGCCAGATGTCACCACTTTCCTTTTGGTAGTTAAGGAAGGGGAGAAAGAGAGGCTTACAAGCCTCAGCACTTATGCAGGAAAGACCAGAAATGTTTCACCTGCCATGCATCCCTGATCCCTGTACTGTCCCCTGGTCTTCTTACACAAGATGCTCCAGGGCACTTGCAAACAAAAGGATAGCATAGCTCCAGCACAGTTCCAGTGCCAGGCAGCAGTGATGGGAATAGGAACAGGGTACTGGCACATGGTCATGCTCATTCATGGTGTCACTTGAGATGAGGCCCATATTACCCTGTGTGCACCTCTTGCCACTGCAGGACCATCCATCTCTAGAAAGGAATGGGCTCCAGTAGGTATGTGGGACACCTATTTATCAGTAGAAATTATCTCTGGTGTTAAGAGTAGAAATGAGAGCAGCTTTGGAAAAGGTATTAGCAAAATCCTGACTGTCACTCTAAAAATAAGGCAGGCTCCTGGAGTTCCTTAGCGCCACTCCTCTTTTAGCATCATGGTGCCTCAGATCTTTCCTTCTCATCTTCCACCTTCCGGTTTCTCTTTAATAAGAGCTGCTTTTTCATTTTTCACAAAGCACTACCTACTCTCTCAGTGTTCCTCTTTTGTAATTCTGTTACCAAGCTGTCTGCTAGGTGGGGAGCAGAAGGTGCAGGACTTGGTGCTGCCTTTGAGGTACAGGTAATTATTATGTGCATCTGTTATTGTGGTTGCTGCCTCAACAGGTGGAAAACATGCTGTTCTCTGATAGATTTGCAGCACCCCATGCTCCTGCCTTGTCTTTTCTCTAAAGCCAGTCGTGTGGTGTTCCTAAAATAATAAACACAGCCTCACTGCTGCCACAAAAACCCCTGGTAAATATATTTTTATGGGAATGAAGTATTAAAGGATTTGAACACTTATTCACTGAAAGCAAAATATGAGCAGTAAGGTTGGGTAAAGATTCAAAGGCTGGTTTCCTTCCTTTCCCTGGGGCACATCAAGCCTGTACTGTTTGCACTTTAGAGATGGATAGTGGGGAATTACTTAACCCAAAATGATGGAAACAATTCAGACTATAATAATATAGCATGAGAGTTTCTCACATTACATCTATTCCCCATACTGCTGGCTATACTCTGCCTTCAGATTCATGTGCACAACTCTCATTGGATTCTGGAGGAACTGTATTTGAAGCCAAAATGCATTTCACTGTCTTTCTGAAGTCTCTCTGCGGTTTAGTGGCTTAATTCTGAGCTCAAGGACCAGGAACAAAGCTTGTCTAAACATTTCCCAGTGTCTGTCTCTGCGAGATTCCCATCTGTTGGGGTTTATTTTGAATTTCATCTTCCTACTTTCCTAAAAACACAAAGCACAAACACACGTTTCCTCTGCCCTGGAGTGCAGGAGTCACCAAATTTCCCAGCAGGTTCTCTCACAACGTATGATGGATCCAAGTTTGTCTAAAAATGTTACAAGCCCTTTGTGGAGAAGAAAGGGAGGAGGCTAGAAACATGGGCCAAGTTTCTGAGTGTTATGAACATCCCCCATCCCCCAAAGGAACTCCATATCCTGTTTCCTCTCTCCAAAAAATTTCACCTGGCTTTGGGTTTCATTAAGAGAAATATACATTGCTCAAGTCCAGGCTCTGAGTCTTCAGTTCATGCTTCCTGCTGACACTGCAGAGACTACAAGAGCCATGAAAGCTGAGTCTAACTTTATGGCTTCAAATTTGCTACAATAGCAGAGCAAATTAAATGGAGGGCATGTTAAGTGGATTGGGAGATTGTTGTTGACTAACAAATCTTCATTAAGTTCCTGCACCAAGCTGTGCTGCATCTCTGATGAAACTGATCACTGTTTCTCCTTCTGTTTCAACTATTTCTCCACAAGGTTTAAAAGAAATTCAAACTTGCTTGAGGTCTAATTAGAAATAAAACACAATATTAATCCATCTTGCCCCATACATGCACCCAGTTTGGAGGTGTTGGTGTATCTTTCAAACAGACCAAGTTCCACTCTGTTCACCACCAGTTATTTACAGCCCTAGTTTTTGCTAGCTCTTTTATTTACTGCCAGTGACTCACAGAGATTTTGTTCACTGGTTTATGATGATTTTCTGGATCACTGGTTTGCATTACCATTACTAGTTTGCATCTCCAGAGGTTTCAGCTCAGGAGTCACCAGTGTGAACCCCAAGAGTTCATACAACTCACACTTCCCCAGAGCAAAGCCTATGGATTACAGCAAAGCCCTTTTCTGATGATGTTTGGGACTGAAGGGAGGCAACCACAACTTGGGCCTCTGAGCCCTTCCCTGTAGACCACTACAGAAATACAGCTCCATAGATGTAACTCAGGTGCCAAGCTACTCTGCTGTATGGGCTTCAAAAACACCCTGCCTGATTTAGGGCAGAGAGGTTTAAGGAAAATGTGCAAAGTAAACGAGGGATTAAAGATACTGCTTATTATAAAGATAATGATATTAAAAATACTGTGAATTACATACCTTTGGCATCTGCAGGGTACATGCAGAGCAGGATCCCCTACCACAGGCTGTCTTTGCTGGAAGGGAAGAAACAATTACTAGGTATTTCTATTCTAAGGTAAGGAACAAAAAGTATATGCAGTTACAGCATGAACAGGGAAGTTAGCCTTCAGTATTATTCTTTGACAGGTACCATTTATGGTGGCCAAAGTATTTGTTGGCCATGGAGATTGGCTGTACCATACCACGTTGTCCTCAGAGCCAAATAACACTTAAAAAATTCAGATGGCCCTCAACCTTTTCTGTATATAAAAAAAAGCATTGATTATTTGGGTTTATGCAGTAGCACCTCAGCACACAAACTGTTACTGGTTCCCAGCACTTGGCCACTGCAGCCTCCCCTTCACAAAGCTGCCTGTTGTGTCCCAGGCAAGACTGAAGAGTGCAACCACAGCAGCTGCTTTCTAATGGGATCTGATTTTTTTTTCTGTTTGTGGTTAACTGGTTCCTATGCTCTAGAAGAAAATGTGTTCTGTTTTTGTACCAGGTGATCTATGACATTTGGGAGTATGTATTTTTAACTGCTAGTTAGTTTTAGAAAAAGAGTAAGAGTTAACCTGAAGGACAAATGATCAGAAATACCTGTCATCCCAAGAGCTAACACAACTGCTGGGAAATTCTAGACCTCAAATCAGCTGTGCTACAGAAGATGATGAGTTCCTGTTTTTTTCCCTTCTACAAGCTTAGCAGTGAGATTTTACAATGAGAAGAAAGCAATTTGCTTAGCTGCCTTGGGATTTCATCTCCTTCCGTTGCATCCCTTAGACTATACGCACATCAGCAAGCAAGTCTCAGCTGTGTTCAGGCTCAGTCTGACCTCTGTACTAACTTGATTTATTGTTTTTAGTTCTCAGATAGTATATTACATTATAACTCAAAGGATCTGATTAGGACTAGCCAGTATTTTAATGATTTATGAGGGGCATCTGGGACTGCATGGGTAGCATACACGTTGTGTCAGTGCTATAGGAGGAATCTGTATTGATCATATCAGCATGCTCCAAGACAAGAGCGTGTCAAATTCCAATAACACTTAGTTCACAAAGCTGATCTGACAGGTGGTCAAGCTTGCACTGGGACTGACTGTAGTTCTCATGGTGGGAATAAAACAAAACAGCTGGATTGCTTCTAGCCATTGCATTATGAGAGGATTTCCATTCCTTTCTCTTGTTCTATTTCTATCTTGCAGCACTTAAGGAGGTGTTTATCCTTCCCAGTTCTGTAGCCAGAAACCTGGGCCACAGGAGCTTGCAATCAGCTCTGTGGTTTATCTTTCTGCCAGAGGATACTGGTGCAAAATACAGGCTACTGGAACTAGCCTTCCAGACCTCTCCAAGTGCTACCATGGCTATCACATTGCTAGGAAGAATCAGATCAGAGAGGCTGGGGTGTGAGAAAGATAAAGAAACTATTAGAAAGACAGTACAGTTGGTTTTAAGCCATAATGTCACTGCATTTAATAAGAG